CACACGTTATGCTCCTATTCTTTTTATGCTCAGCTACTAAAATTTCCCTTTAGTGGTAAAATTCCATATAAATATTCAATACTAAAACGTGCACAGTAAAGGCATTAAATATACATATACATACTGTATACAGTACAGTTTGCATACAGTAATATGTTTATGTTCCTAAATCAATATCTTTTATGAACATGTGAAAGGCATGGTGAATCTGAGATTCTCAAAAATGACTGTACTTTGCATGATTGGAAACAAATGCGTGATTGGATCAACGAAATGCTGTGTCTTTAGTCTTTGGTATAGACTTTGATGGCGACAGCTCAAACACGAGAGGTTGAGTTTTATTAGCTCCACCTTGTGGAAATTCCAGATACTATTATTTTACTTGCGTTATTATGTGAGAATATACGGTATTAATATGGTATTATACGGTAACTTGAGTAATACCGCAACAAGCGCACCGCATTATAATGCAGTATCGCCCGCTTGTTTTGAATGGCTGCATCTGTATATCACGGTAAACTGTAGATACTGCGTGGTATAGGGTTTTACCATGCATTTTGAATGGCTGTATCTGTACATTAACGTTACATTTACTTTGCAATGATGTCTGACAGTTTGTATTTGCCTACCATAACTCCCTGTGTTTTACTATGTTTTGCAATATTTTACTCCACATTTATCATTTTAATGACAGAAATGTTGTAGAATTTGATTAAATGACTGAATGGCACATTTGCTACAAACACACCTTTCAGGATTAACTTCATTTTTCTACTGGAGCTGTCTGTATGGGTGTGAGCTGTGGATGAGTACCTCATAGCATTCAGATAAAACAATACTGTAAGTTCACTAAACATTTGCAGCTGTTTAGATAAAACTAAGCTTTAAAGGCCATTTAGGGAGACTCTAGGTGTAAAGACACGAGGATACAGTATCTGTATTTTATAAAAAAATATTATTTTTAATTGTTTAAAAATATTATTTTTCTAACGTATCTTATGGAATATGGAACTCAACATAAACAAAATTAAATGTCTTTTATATTTTAGATTTCTTCTGTATATGCACAGAGTTCTCTGAAAAATGAATATAAGGGCTGTGAAATCTTGGATTTCAGGTAAACAAATACATATTTCTACATTTTTTTCAAACCTATGTTCAACTTGTAAATTTGAACACAATGTGTATTTAATAGCATTGAGTGTAATTTCTTTTTCAAATAATCTGACTGGACTACTCTGTAAAACTGCCACATACAGTACATCTTATTTTTTTATCAGAATTCAATGTGTATTAACTCATTAGTGCATCTCTTCACTAATCATAAAGGATAAAGAAAAAAATAAAGTATAAAGTCTCTGAATGTCATAAACTGTATGAGTCTATAAATATAAATATATGATACATTCTGTATATAGCTGGCAGTGGTTGCTAAAAATAAAATAAAAAAGTGGATAACAGTATTCCACCTTCTTCATAAACATTTTCTGAATTAAAGTCTTTATCTTGGTCACTTGCTGTCGTTTAGAGTGACGAATGAGTTTGACACATGGACAGCACAGTTGCTTTGTCTCCTCGCAATTAGAGGGGTATGGGCTGCAATTTTATTTTTACTCTCTGAAGGACAAGTTACATGGCATTTGATCAGTTTGCAGTTTGCTTGGGAGAGGTGGAGCAGCAATTTTAAGGAGATGTGCTACAGATGAAATTCAAAACAGGTCATGCTGTAGTGTGAGTTATACTTTATCTGACCATCATCATACCTAACAAGCATCAATACACATTTGCACATTAAATTAACTGTTTAGTTGTTTAGTTAAACTTGAAGAACGGGATAAGCTACAAATGATTCAATAAATTAACAGAAACAGAGGGATCTGGAGGTACTTCAATTATTACTCTTTTGGTTTTTGCTTCACAAATCAATAAATGAGTTTTTTGTACTGTGAGCTTCCACATTAACATTAACTATCGAGGTTCATGCTAGGACAAAAGTATGTGAGCTGTGATTTTTACTGTAGCAACATGAACATGCTTTAACTTAATCTTCAACCAAGACTGTTAGCTTTGTGTCCTGGTACCATGAAGGAAAAAAAAAACAGCCTGTAGTAGCACACTAACTCAGAGTAGCTTACAAATGATAAAACACTTTATTTTAAAATTAATTGTGTAATGAATATAACTACCTGTATATAAACTGATAATTTAATACATAAAAAATACATTACAATGTGTTTTCACTGTAAACATTTACAGTGTTTATTCATATTTAAGTGAACTATTTTTTTGGTCCATTTCCAAAGGGGTGTAGGTAGCATAATTGAAAAAAAGATTAACGCATTTGCATGAAACATTATGTAATGATTTCTATAATTCATTAAAAAAATATCCTGATACTTGTTTTATAATTAAAAGCTCTAATATTTTATATATACAGTATATTTATTTTTCATTTTTCTTTTTCACGTAGTTGCCCCTTTTTCTTGATAATTAGTAACAGACTCTGTATAGATACCTGGCCTACAGTTCAGCCAGTAGGTCATTGGAATAATGTGCCTGTGGGTCAATTTACATGATAAAAACACCTTCAATGACATATGGGGAGTTTCGGGTTGTTTATATGTTTTCAAGTTTTATATAGGTCCATCCATATTATTGCTATTTATATTAATATTATTTTAATATTTAACACAGTATGATATATAAAATTAATAAAAATGACAATAGAGAAAAAGTTTTAATTATCACAATTTTGTTAAACACACAACTTGAACTTTGGCTGGGAATTGAACCCAGGCAACTGGCAAGGCACACTGAGAACTCTACTACTGAGTCACCCTGCTTGATTGACTTCAGTTAAAAACTAAATGTGTTTCATTTTCCATTACACTGCAAATAATTGTTATGTAATGTAACAATGTAAACAAAATGTACAACTTGGACATTGACTGGAATCAAACCCTGATCTTTTGGTGTTTTAAACCAACAATCTCCAGTTGTTTGATGCCACAAAGTGAAACCAAACCATACAGATGTAGCCATTCAAAGTGAGCGGCACAAACACGTACTACGGGCATTTGGCTGCTTCATAATGCGTCATACTGCGGTACATGATTGGTTGGTCAGTCGTAGAAAGATTTAAATGTCTTTACTGTGCCCGTTTTGGTATTTAATATTTATATGGAATTTTACCACTGAAGGGAAATCTTAGTAGCTGAGCATAAAAAGAATAGGAGCATACTG